AGGACTGCAAAAGCAATCCATTATCAAAAAGTTTTCCTTTCGGATCTGCTCATTAAAGTCCAGGAACTTATTGGTACAACAATGGACCGTAAGTACAATAAGCGCTTATTAAATGCCTCGAATGCGAATCAACTTTCAGCTAAATGGAAAATGGCAGGGAACGGGAACGGGAACGATGCCAACGCGGAAAAACAATGGAAAATGCCATGGCCGGAAATTCACGCAACGGAAGCGGAGTGGGAAAGGAAAGGAGCAGCAGCAAGACGACGCTGCCAATGCCACTTGGGAACGTCAGTCACCCACAAGATTTCCTCGAGTCACCACCCAACCATCGCCCATCCACCAATACCAAATCCTATTCCCAGTTCCAGTTTCAGGACCAGCAGCAGCAGCAGCAGCCCCATCATGCTATACAATCTTTGCCAGCTGCTACTCCATGAGGTCGCTGCCTCTCTGCATCCTTCTTTTCTACTCTTTTGCTACTGTTCTAGCTCCTTTGGGTTGGATACCCTATAAGGAAAGGGTGCTATAATTATATGAATAAGTTTGTCACGCTTGGGGGAAGCATTTCCGAATCTCTACATATTTATAGAAAATCTGTCTTATTTGTCCTAGAAATGTATAGAAGGGTATTTGGATTTTTGTCACTCGCATCTAAGCTCCTTCTTATGTTTCCCTGCCCCTTTTGTGGAACCCTGCTCACTATTCCCCACCCGGTACTGTAAGTCCATCCATTCATCTTTTTGCTATCCAAAAATTTTGCATGCCATGGCAGAAACAAAGCAAGCGCAAAATGTTTGGCCGCCTGGGAACAGAAAAGACTTGAAGAAGTACTGGCCAGGGAGCCAGGGAATGAGCAACAGAATACAGAGAGGGTGGGCGAACAGGAGCGAAAACAAAGAGGGAGCCTGATTGGGTTTCCATTGAAAGCCGCTTGGCCAACTTTATGTTTTGGTCGCAGGAATTACCCAAAAACTTGATGCCTGTCATTCCATAGAATGTGGCCTTAAGAATTTTCGGTTGGATACGAATTTGAAATACCTTTAAATGCGAGAGAGTTCAAAACTGATATTCCTGTGCATAAATCAAAGGCAACCAATCTTCGGGGTCGGTGTGGATCTCGGGGATTGATTAATGAGATGCGCAGCACTTAGCACGTGCTCTCAGTCCGTCCGGGGACATTGGGGAGTCACTCAGTCAGTCAGGTACAAGGACACGGCACGGACACCGACACCGACACGGAGACACGAGCGCACAGACGATTCCTTGGACACAGTTCCCAAAAAGTTATTTATGACCTCCGGGCGAATGCAATTTGTTGTGGTCAACAAATCGCTACACAAATTTCTGTTCTGTGTCTCTTAGCTTGTTTTTTTGCACAAAAATGAGCAAGATCATTAGAGATGATGTGGGTGGGGGAGGATTGGGGAATTGGGGAATCGAGGATGGGTAGAATGAGACAAAAGTTTATTAGTCACGTTCGAGGAATGCGAATGGCCATCGCCATCGCCATCAAAAGGTGAGGCTCCCAAAAAAATACATATTCGTATCAGAAGCATCCGAAGTCTCTGCTAAAAGCGCCCAAAGAAATGAGCTTAAGCCAAATGGCGTTAATCCATGAATTATTGCCTAAAAGCATGCCAAAGCGCATTAAAGTCTAGAGGTGACAGCGCGAAGAAGGCGACAGTGGATTGTAGTGGAGTGGACGGAGGATGGACTGGGAGGAGGAGGAGGAGGTGGTGGTGGTGACCAGATCAGGCAGGTAGCCAAAGGACAAGCCAGCAGACAAGATATCAATTGTATTAGACAAAACAAGAGGTGCGGAATACCCTTCGAGTGCAGAGATTTCAATGGGAGTTCATCGAATATGGAATTAAGATGTACTGATGATCAATTGGTGATCAATTATGAAAATATTTTTATAGAATAAAACGTTTAAAAACTCTTCTGGTGTTGTAAGATATATGTACATATGTGCACAACATAGGATGAATACTTAATACTAAACGACAACAAATATGAATTATCTTGGGAACACAAAACATAAATATAATTTTTTGTGATTCCGAGATCTTAATTTTAAATTGAAAAACTTTATTTGTCTAACTGATGTGTTCTTAAGAACTTGGCAATATATAAAAGTTGATGTGCAAATGAAAGATCTTCGAACCGAATATTATTTAGGTAACAGCCTTCCTGATAAAACAACAATACCCTCAACAACACACGCAAAATGTCTCCACCGAGCATTAGTAATGCCCATGAAAGTGCCAATGGAGAACATGAAACATACATTTTGATTTTTTTTCTCAAAAAACACCAAAACACTCAAAAGGAAAAGAAAACGACAAAAATATTGGCCGCAAAAAATAAATAAAAGCACATAAAAATAAAAAGGGGTAAAGCCCAGTTTTGGACCGCACCCATGAGGAGAGCGGTCCAACCAGCCCACACCTCTCGTCCCCACACCGAATATCCCTCTCTGTCCCTCTTTCGAGGTATATCTACCCCTCTAACCTCTTTATTTAGGGGTATATATCTATATCTCGCTTTCTGCATTTGTCACAACTTTAAAGTTGTAGTCAGTTTTTTTTTTTGGGTTCTTTTGTTGTAGTATTTCTGTTGTTTTTATGAGTATTGACATTATAATCAACGCCGTTTTCAATTTCAACAAAACCCCTTTCCGCCACAAAAAGTTGCATCCTCCCCGCTCAACCACTAAGCCCAGAGGGGGAAAAAACTTCTCTTTGCTTTTGAGATATTCAGTTTTTTCGGGTGTCTTCCACAGTGCTTTTAGAGGGTATGTCATTTGGAAAGGGTATAAGTATTTTTATCGGATGGTTGCAGGGCAGAAAAGAAAGAATGGTGACGACTTTCCTTAATGACGATTTAAGGGTCTTATGTACATATATGTCATTCCTAAACTAGTCCATGATTTTTGTGACTGAAAAAAATCATAATCCATAATTAGCAGATAATGTTAACAAATACAATATTTATCTGCTTCAACAGAGATGCCAAGAAATGTATAAATGCTTTCATTTTATTTAGCTTAAATTACTGACACAGAAAAACTGTATAGAAAAACCCAGATTTATTTCCAATAGCTGTCATAAGAATCTAAAAGGGTATCTCAATATTCGGCTCCCAGAAACCCAGCTTTTTGTTCTTGTTACTTCTTTTTTTTTGCTTTTCTTTCTTTTAGCTCCTTCTTATTTCCACTTTTCGTTTGGCAAAATAAATATGTAAATTATTGCTATGTATCTGTGTATATGTCCCTTCATATCGTATCTCTGTGTGAGTGTCCCCCCCTATGAATATTTGTGTGTGTCCCACTGTGTCTGTATGTGTGTGGCATGCGTCAGTCACCTGTGGTATTTTAACATCTTTTTATTTTTTTTTTTTTGCTGGATAGTCTCATTTTTATTGGTTCCCCGCATGACCCGTTCCGGCTCTGGTGCCACATAACCGAAAGATAGTTTTGGACTTTTGGAGCGCTGCTGGCCACCAAATCCCAAAGGAATTTCGATTTGAGACGTATTCCATTTCAGGTACTCAAGGGCCACCCTGTGGGGTTTGGATGGGTGTGCAGTTATGGATACATTTAACGGTTCCAATAGCAATAAAAAACGTAAATTGAAAAGTATTAAAGCTCTTTAAGGCTTTTGAAGCCAAAGAAAGTTTGCGCGATGCGAAATAAACAGTTAGGTACGGTTTTAAGGCCAAATGGAGTCTCAAAAGGGGTCATATATTTATTCAGAATGTTCTTTAGTTAAGTAAGTTTCTCCCAAGTAAAGAAGTTTCATACCATTTATAATAAGTACTTTAACGAAAATATATTCGTAAACACAGAGAAAAATGGCATATTAAAAAGAAACACACATATGTACATATATTAAAATTAGTAATTCGGGTTTTAAATAAAAAAATAGTGAAATTAAATATAATTGACTTTGATTTTAAAATTAAAGAAAACAAATTTTTTTTAATACTTCCCATATTTAATCTAACGATAAAATAAATCTAATTTTAGAAAAGTATTTCATCAAAATACTAGAATATATAATTTTAATATGAAATATATTTATGTTCTATTCATAAAACAAAATACAAAAATTAAAAATGACTACAGATCGTTGGACATCCAACAAAAAAAACTTCCAATGAAATACGCTTTTCAAATTTTTGTTCGTTTTTCTTCTTTTAAATCTTTATAGATTTGTATTCACTTAACCTTTCTTCTGTCATTTACCACACCCACACTCAAAATCTCCTAGAAATTTTTAATTTCTCTTAGTATTATAATTGACTCTTTCCTTACAAATTACTGAACATCCCTTTCATCCAAACCACTTCCTTCCTCCCTAACCAAATTCCATGTGCACATCCCATGCACATCCTCATTGATCTCAGGAAGCTGACAATTAGCTTCAACTGTTTCCCCTACGACCCAAACCAATATTGAACCACTGTCCATATCTGACAATCATTTTGATTTATGGTGCACCCAGCCAGGGTCCACTGTCCCCTGCTCTCACCCTGTTCACATTGCAGAGAACTGCACTTGAGTAAATATTTTTCAGTGGCCCCATATTCAATTTCAAATACCTCAAGCCCAGGGACAGCCAGTACCGTCTATCGACAATCATTTGTTGAGGGCGTTATGGTGGGAGGGGGGGAGAGAGATTGAAAGACAGTAAGTAAGTTGACCTTTTGTGGGCAATGCAAACAATGACAATGAACCATGTGAAAGACAAACCAAAAACCAAAGCCACCAAAGCCAAAAATCCTCAACCAAATCAAAATTTAAACAAGAAAGAAAGGATTGATTGGTGGAACGAAGTATTAGATACCCTTTTAGATGAATAGTTTCTACGTAAGATATACATATGTGATGTATAAGAAAAATAATTATATATATTTAGATGACTAGATGATTATGGACTAAAGGACCATAACTTGGGGTAGCCCCAAGATTCAGTAAAATATATTCAATCAATTTTAATGAACATACGAATATACATTAAATGGTTACAAAACATCTCTTCAACATCATTATCTCTACTTTTGCTAGTGTATAATGAACAAACTTATGATTATTGACATTTAATGCGCACATTTGACTCTAACATGAACTTGGACTCTGCTCTGTTTGGTGTCTGTGTTCTGGATTCCTGTTGACAGATGATGGAATGGACTGAGACCCAGCTAAGCATTAAATATGAACCAAAACGAGACACAAATACTCGTTCAAACGACACCTTCTTCAGCAGCTCCTCTATCTGTATCTCTATCTGTGTGTTTGTTTGCCTGTGAAATTCAATGCTGTACACAAACATTTTTTTCGCTGCATTCAACACTCTGATGATGGGCGGCAGATTGCAGCCCTCCAGCTGCTGATGGTCGGGGCGAGATCAACGAAAGACAGAACTTGAGACCTAAGGAGCTCTGGTAACTCTATATTCGAAGCTGAAAAATATGTTGAAAGAAGTGTAGGATTTGTTTGAATTAAAGAAAAGCTAAAATCAGTTGGCAAGTGTTATTGGTAGTTTTTGGAAGTAATTTAAGGAGCAGATGCAGGTAACGGCTTAGGAATGAGGAAACATTTACGGATACATATTTAATATACAAACCTGAATGACAAACTTATATTTATCTGCCAGTATTAAAGCCTTGAATTCAAATGAATTCTGGTTTATATATAGAGAAAACCTGCTTGATGTTTGTTCCACGAATTTTTTTAATTTATATTTTCCAACTTCCCATTCCCCATTGCTTTCCCATTCCCCCTTCCAAGTACTCATTCTCTAGCCATACCACAAATCATTAGAGCAATCATTACAAAACTTTTCCATTGTCTTAGATTTCAAGTGCAATGTCTGTGCTTCCCCCGACACCCCCGTCCCCGAGCCACCCACAACCACCCCAATCGTCTAGCTACAAAAATATTTCCCACTCTTAGATTTGTTGTTGTCTGGGTCACATTCAGCTCTATAGAGAGCTCTACGAGCATTACGTTTTATTGGCTGCCTTCAGGGCCCCCGTGCGTTCGTGTCCGGCAATTAGTCTGCGCGCATGCGTCGCCAGCTTCATTGTCAACTCGGTTTTGGCTTGTCCGCCAATTGTCGTCTGTCCCTTGTCCGTTCGTGTGTCCCGTCTGCTTCTGTTTTTGTTTTTTTCGTTTTCGTTTTTTGTTTGTTTCGCTGTCGCTTTTCCCATATTCAAAGTATCGGGCGTAGTAAAATGTTAATTAAATTCAATTAAAATGCGCAGCGAGTCTTCGACAAAATGTTATTCACATTTCAAGGTTAATTTGACAGGCCGCCTTAAAACACTTTGAAGAAGTGCCAAACTTTAGTTGTGCCAGAGGCCTGGATGGGGGCCCTGGAGTTACACACATATTGGGGGGTGGTGTGTGATGGATGTGCTAAGACCAACTGCAAAGTTCAAGTGTTCATTGGTTCCGCAACATTTGATTTATTTTATTATCTGTTATCGGTATCTATCCATGGGTTAGGGCTCGTTCAAGGCTGATCGAGGTAAAGTACTTGAAAAATACGAAATGGAAAAGTTTTATATGAATGTGGAATTTTAGAGTCAATGCTTCAAATACCCTTTCAAATATATGTAGGTATGTATGTAGTACTTATGATATAATAGGTAGTTCCATTGCCATTTAAATTCATACCGAATCATGAAAGACATATTTTCTGTGTTAGTTACAGCAATACCGCAAATACCATAGAGGATACCTCAATGGTGCAGACATCACCCGTAATTATACCAATAAAAATTTTTAGTCAAATAATCAATCCTCTTCTATCGTTCATCTTTTTACAAGACCTCAGTGCACTTGTAGAATCCACAGGAATCTAATATCACCAGTTTCCATTTCTATAGTTAATATCTATGTAAATCTGGCCTATTCCATGGCATATTACCGTTTATTGTATCTACATAATTAAGTCAATCTTTATAGAGGGTAAAAAATCCCTGGCTGACTCGGGACTCAACTGTTACCCCTATCTGATCATAGTATTTGAAATGCTATCAATTTACACTTCTGATTGAAAGTCACAATACCCTGTCATTTAGGAAGTGTATCATGAAATTAGCTTTACTGCCGTCGCGACGGAAAAGAGAGCAAAACAACAGAATTAATAATAAATATACTAAAAACCACATTAAGCCCAAACCGAATTGTAATAAAAATTATTTAGCTCGCCACAAATTGTGGGTCCAGAGCCCCCTTAGAGTCGTTTCTCTCTCTCCGGTCCACCACCCGCAGGCCAGTGGCCACCACCCCCTGCTGCTACGGCGTCAGCTGCCACTTAATGACTGAATGAATGGCCAACACGTTGCCACAAGGGGTGAGGCAGTGGGTGGGAGAGAGGCATGGGCATAGCCAACAAAGCATTTAATGTTTTTATTTGCGGGCGGCAGAACCTGAAAGTGGCAGGCAGCAGCCTGTTCCTGCTCCTCTTTAGTGGGGCTTTGCGGCAGGACTCGTGACAAAATGGTGGGGATAACGGGGCGGACCGAAGCGGAAGCCCAGCGGCGACAGTCCATGCAACATGTTGTTGTGTGGCGAATGCTTTAAGTTGGATTTTCTTTTAGAATTTAATGAGGGAAATGCGTTTTGCACGGCTCAGGGAGATTAATTCGCTCGGGATTCCAATGATTCCCAGGATCAGAGATTGGGGATTAGGAATCAAAAATTAAATATTATAATGAAGGAAATTTTAGGTTGATCCCAGTTGGTTTATTAGAAATAGTTTCATTGAATTCGACACAAAAGTAAATAAGCAAACGCCTTCTGGGGGTCAATCGGTAAGTCCCAAAAATCGCTATTACTTTCATTATCCCTCCCAAAAAGTCATTGTGCCTGTAGCGCTATCTTCTGAAGACATAAAAAAACTATTCTCTGTAATCAAACAAACAAGCTAACAGTGGTTTTTATTTGAAAAGAAAAAGGATTTCCATTTTTTTAGCTTAACTTGGGGAATTGGAAGCTTCCCGCAAGCTTTAAAAACGAATACAAAATTTGTCAAGTAGTCATTTATTGCAAATGTACTTTTTATCATGCTTCGAATTTCGAATTTCAGAAAAAAAAAGTACCCTCTACTATCGCTATAATCATATTGTTACACATAGAATATTCTGAAGAATACTTTCAGCTCCTGCTGATTACCTTCATTAATCAAATCTAGAGGACTTTAACCTCGATGCAGTGAGGAGTGCATTGATAACTGTCAACCACTGCAGTGGCTGGTTTCTTCTCCCAAAGAATGCTCTGTCATAAAATACCTCACTCTACCTCTTCATTCATCCTCAACATCTCTTTCATCTCTCGCTGTCAATCCATATGCAAGTGAACTTTCCTTCCAGATTTTCCATACGGTTACCAGCCTTGAACCCGCCGCCTTCAGATCGTCCGATCATGCATAGTTCTCTTGCCCGTATTCTCGGTCTCTTTCAATTCCCCTTCATCATTGTATTTCCATTTCATCTTTATTAGTTTGGCCTCCTTTTTGTCGTGGTCCGACAGTATCTCTTTATGTGTGTGTGTGTGCGCAGTATCTGTGTGAGTTGTGGGGTCTTTAAACAAGAACTTTGGCACAAATTGCAAACAGAGAAGAGAACAGACCGAGAGCAGAGCATTCCGATTTGCCGCGAGATTTACAGAAATTTATGCAGCTCCTCCGCGGATGGTGATGATGGTGATGGTGACGTTGACGGTTAGCGAGGAGATGATGAAGATGACGACAGCCACAGCCAGAGCCAGCCAGTCAGCCACTGCCACTGGCCACAGAAATAGAAGCAGACAGGCGGGTGGTGGTCTAGGGGTTGCTTGAAGGTAATGGGTGGTACTGGGGGATTTAAAATTTTTGGGGCCACTTCAAGGCGCTGACTGACTCAGCTCGACTGCTGTCCGCCCAATGTTTGTTTAATTTGTCTGCCTTGGGATTTTCCCCCACGCTTTTCTGCTCTTTTTTCGGTTTTCGGGATTGGTTTTTTGGTCATTTTGTCAAAAAAAAATATAGAATTTATTCATAATTTTTCTAGAATAGAAAAAGAAAAAAAATAAGTTTGACGACTCAAAAACAGGCGTGGCAACTGACTGATTATTTAGTTCGTTCGTGTACCTCGTATCTGCGCACGTAAAGCGATAAGCAAATTAGCTGCAAATCCCTTGCCATCTCCTAAAGATAGCCGTTGGACCGAACCAGAAGACCCAAAAGAAAAGGGCCTGGACCATAAATGTGTGCCCATCACGAGCAGCGGGAGTGAAATGATAAGCGAGAGCCATCCAATCAACCAAAGCAAATACAGAAGATCACTTGAGTACTTGTGTAGATCCGGTAATATAATGCCTAGACCTCCGATAAGTTTGTCTGAAATGGTTTATTTTAAAGACAGGGCTTATCTAATTTCTTTTAGAGATCAGTGACTTTGCAGATCTCTTTGTCAAGGGCGAAGGTTTTAACTTGAAGATACATGGGTTCTCAAAAGGTCTATGACCATTCGTTAAATTTTTTTCATTTTGAATAATATTGGTAAGTAAATTTACAGAAACAAAAATTACTTTAAACTAATATTGGAATATTCTTTGTTCCTTAACCAAATTGACATTTCAAAGCCATAATGGGATGGAATATTTAGAATAATAAATTAGATTTTTGGACTGGCAAATCCTTCTTCCAGATTCACAAGGACTCTTCATAATATGAAGATCTGTTAAATAAAGAACCCTTAACAATCTATGAAGTTGAAGCTGCTCCAATGGAAAAATCAAAGGCCTGCCCAAGACCAATCAAGCTGAAGCCAAAGTAATTTATGGCCCAACCTCAGTCTAACCCAAAGTCACTTCATCAATGGGAATGGAAGCCATTTACAGGGTGGCCTAGTGTTTCTCATAAACTAGTACATACTCCACAAAAGTTGCTTGGGGGTGTTGCGATGACTGCTACAAATCGCTGGCCATTTGGTCTGTAGCCACACAAGAAACGAGTACATATGTATACATATCTGCATCTGTAAAAGTCAACTAAATAAATAGTTACGGGGGTACTACTGTGTGTGGGGGATGTGTGGCACAAGCACAAGGGGGCAGGGCACTCTCCACATGTCGCGCACAATTGCCACTAATTTAACGTTGGTTTTTCTTTCATTTTCTCTCTTTGGCTTGGCGCTCAGAGCTTTCTTATGCTTAAGTCTGCCTCCAAAGCTGACACTTTGTGCTGCTACTTACACACACATTACACTCACACAGACACTCGCACACACACACACACACACACACACCATACAGAATGGGACCACACTCGAGAGCATTACTAATCTGTGTCTTTTTATAAAGCCAAGCCACAGCGAGGTCAGGCCACAGCAGACGACAGAAGACGACAACGACTACAACGACGATGATTCGCTGGTAAAGTATCTCTAATGAGACATAAGCACAGAGCACT